TAATGTATACATTAAATGGCTACAGATTTTTGAGTGGTGATTTTACCTCAATAAAGCAGTTTTTTAAAAAAGTAAATAGTGACTTTTTTATTGAAGGGTAGGAAACTCTTTTTATAATAATTTTAAAATATTCTGCATTTATACCTGTCACTTGTATTTTCCAGGGCCCAGATTGTAAACAAAGAAGTGTTTGTTTCCAGCCCTCATTCATGTTTTACGGTTCCTGGAGCTCTCACCCCATCGCTTCTTGTGGCTGTCTGATGGCCCAATGCCTTTGTCCCTTCTGCAACCTCCCACCCTCAGAGCATCGAGGCCAGTCGAGTTTAGATGGATGCACACTGTCAAGGTCCACAAGCTGTTCATTTCAGGAAGCTCCTGACACCAGCACTGTAGTAATTTTGACATTGCCCCCAAGGAAAGAAGACATTCATTCCTTCTGTAACCTGCATATAAGCCAGTGCCACATGTAGGCCTGTCTGTGTACAATGCCACACACAAGACGCATGGGCTAGCGACCACATGTAACCAGGACTCCGTACAGTCCTGTTTGCTCATTTCTGTCACCCTCAGCATCCTTGCAACTCCCACAGCTGCCCAGACGTCTCCCCCTTCCCTTCTCTCTCTTGATCTCACACCAAAACTCTTTTTTCACCTGATCACACTTGACGCTCCCTCCTTCCTTGCTCCTCCCACTTCCTTCTTTGCTAGTGAAATGGCCCCTCTTGCATCTCGCATATTCATCCCACTTATAATCCTGATTATCCATCTGCAGAATGAGGCCCAGGAGGAGCTCTGGCAGAGGCCGGATCTCATCCAGGCTTCGGGCTTGAATGGGAGGTGGGGAGGTGGGGCAGACAGGGAGCTGGCGTGGGTGGGGGACAGTGGTGAAAACCTCAAAGTTAAAGGCAGAATTTCATGGAAGTGGGGAATAGGTGGGAAGAAACACAACTGTAAACATTTATCCTTCAGCATGTTCCGTCCCCAGTGTACCTCCAAGCACAGTTGCTCCAAGCACTAGTCTAGCCTAGTCAGCTTGGCCTCCAAGGGATTACCCCTCCTGTGGCCCCTGCATGCATTTCCTAGGGCTGCCTTGATGAATTACCACAAACGGGGTGGCTTAAAATGGGAGAGATTTTTCTGGAGCCTGGAAGTCCAAAAGTCTAGGTGTCCTCAGGGCCATGCTCCCTCCAAAGGCTGTAGGGGGGTATCCTTCCTGGCCTCTTCCAGTTTCGGTGGCTGCTGGCCGCCCTCGGTATTCCTTGGCTGGCAGATGCATTACTGTATCTCTGCCTCTGTCTTCATGGGGTCATCTTCCCTCTGTGTTTGTATAAGGACACCAGTCACTGGATTAGGGACCACTCGAATCCAGTGTGATCTCATCTTCATCTGATTACATCTTCAAAGAACCTATTTCCAAATAAGGTCACATTTGTAGGTTTGGGTGGGGGGGGACACTATTCAACCCAATACAGCCCCCAATGGTATCTTCATCCCGAGACTAGAAGACTCTGACTACAGGTTGTGGCCTGGAATGCCACAGAGAGGAGTAGGCAGAGGGGAAGAGGGGAAAGAAAGGGGGGTCCCAAGAAGTGCCACATGAGAGGGGATGGATACTGCCCACCCTTACATCCCATTCTGTGACCACTGTCTGCAAGTCAAAGAAGAACTAAAGAAGTCAGGCTGAGGATTCCGCAGGTTGTTCACACCTGCTGCCTGTGCCCGGGGCTCCTGCACCATCATGGGTCCCAACTTCCAACCCCCAATCCCCCTACGTGGCCCCGTTCAAGGCATCCAGCCATGCTAGCTTTGGACAGCACTGCCCTGGGCCCTGGAGACATGGAGGTCATAAAACGTCCACAGTCCTTGTCCCCATGGGGCATATACCTAGAGGAGCAGCAATTCATTAAAGCATAAGCCTAAACAATGCAGTGAACAATAACGAGCATGTAAAAGGCACCATGCGGGGAGCGCTGAGGCTTTGTGATCAGGCCCCTTGTGAGGAATCTCATCTGGAAGATCAGGTAAGAGCTTTCAAGGAGGAAGGGAGGAAGGGTGAGATTGGGGACATTCCACTGGGACCAGCATGCCCGGAAGCTACAGGTTCAGCCAAGCACAATTGCTTGGCGGAGCTAAAAATAGCCCAGTGTCACTGGAGTATGGGGAGCAAAGGGAAGAAATGTCCCTCTAGGCTCAGACACTCAGAAGAACGATGCTGTTCTTGCTGATGGATGTGCGCAGTGGCAGCGCGACAGGGACAGACTGAGCCGCTGCTTCTTTGCAGGCAGCAGAAACACAGCGTGGACTGGGACAGGTTCACACACTTGGGAATTAGGCGGGGCTGGATCCACTTCCAACACTGCCACTTCCAGTCTGCATGCCTTGGGCTAGTGACTTAAAGTGACTCAGTGTGAGTTACTTCATCTGGAAAGTGACCATGCAGTAGTGGTCAGGAGACTGAGTGAGCACATCTGTTCTTGGCGTGGGGCCTGGCACAGAGTAAGTTCTCAGCACACACGAGGGAGCTGAATGGGTATTACACTAAACTCTCAAAATTAAAACGTTTGACGTTCAACCTATAATATTCAGTACAATGGAAGAGGGGTTTCTATGGTCACTGACAATTTCCTAGATTCGGTATATATCTAAAGAGCAAAATGTGGAATAAAAATAATAAAGGATTTGCTTGTATATATTTATTTAATCTATGAATGCAATAGAGGTTAATCAGATTTTTTCCTTGGGTTAAGAAAAATGTCATAGCACTTCATTACCTGAGGCAAATTTCAACTCTATTGACTAAGGAATTTAGACTGTGTGTTTATTCTTACGTAGAAAACAACAACAAAAAAAAAAACAAATAGAATCTTGAACAATTTAAGTATGCTGGGGCATTCATAGTAGATAACATCAACTTGCATGAATGTGATACGTTGTTTATTTTCATACTTTGGAACAGTAAATAGAGGCAAGAGCATGTTAACCTAAACAAAAGGTTGTAGAAAATCAAGTTTATTAGACCTTGTTGGTGGTAGAGATTTTGACTATAGGACAATATTTTTAAACAGTAATAGGTTAGAGACATTTGAAACAACTAGATGATGAGAGAAATGCACATTACCAGTGACTCAGCACATGCAGATAAAGCAGGTGGATGAAGCAGGAGTGATGGGGAGAGAATCAGAAAAAAGGCAAGGAAGGAACTTTTCATCAAATGGTGGCATTTCATTAAATTACAGCCTTTAGGAAAGCGATATAGAAAGTCTATCAAAATTCAGTGATCACGTGCTGTTAGGCCAAGCAATCCTCGACATCTCTCCTGCAGACATGCTTGTGCCTAGGAATAAAGATCCTGTTCAAGGCTGCTCATAGCAGTAGCAACTGTACTGGTGAAAACTTGGAAACATCCCAAATGCTCATTAACAGAGGAAGGGTTATACTTTGTTATTATAACAGAGGAGACAGAAATAAGAATGAGTGAGGAAAAGCTGTGTGTATTAATATGGAACAACGTTCTTTATATGGTCAGAGGAATAAAACCTATCATGGAATAGTATGCACCACTTGGAAAACAGAAGCTGCACCACCTACTGCACAGAGAGAATTTAATACAGGGAATTAGTTAGACGAGCCCTGGAGGATGAAGAAGACAAAGGGGAACACTGAGAAAACAGAGAAAGCAGCTGCCACCTCTGGGGCTGGAAGCAAAGGAAAGAAATTGGGCTTATCAGAACCCAGAGTTTGGGGGAGCAGCCCCTGCCCTGCACCAGACCTACACCTCTGAGTAAGGGGGCCAGGCTGCAGTTGGACCTCAAGTGCTCGGAGGAAGTCTCATGGTGTGGAACACAGTCCCCTGAGGAGGGGACTCTGGCTATGGCTGGTGTCCTGGGATCTGGTTGTGCTGTACAAAGCTGAAAACTGAAACCAATGGCAGCTGTCAGGTTGAGGGGCGGTGGAGGATGGAGGCAACACTGTCAGCAGCAGAAAGTCGATGAGGCCACGCCAGTCCTTGTCCCTCCTCCTGCTTCCCAGTCTCCTTCTAGCACCCCCTGTGGACAGGGAGCAGCTAGCCAAGCAGAGATGGGGACTGCAGAGCTGCAACCTCCACTGCAGAGTGTAGGGTGGGTGCGGAGAGGACAGACGGGAGCTCCTGTGCACATGTGCAAGCCCAGGAGAGGCACCGGAGGCTACAAGCCCGAGTGCAGTGGGGCGGGTGGTGAGGGCAGGAGAGGAAGCTTGTATGTCCACACTCGATATTAATAGTCTTTTAACTCTTTTCCCACAACTAACAGACATTACTGCATTACTTTATATTTACAAAAAAATTTCTAGGGCCGGCCCGGTGGCGCACTGCTATAGTGCGCCGCTTGGGAAGCACAGCGGCGCTCCCACCGAGGGTTCGGATCCCACATACAGACCGGCTGCTCACTGGCTGAGCGAGGTGCGGGGGCAACACCGAGGGTTGCAATCCCGTTGCTGGTCCCGGTCCGGTACCGGCGCGACACTGAGGGTTGCGATCCATTGCCGGCCACAAAAAAAGAGACAAAAAGGAAAAAAAAAATTTCTAAACATTTTTTTAACCTAGCTGTATATGAAAAACAAACAAAAACCACATGACGTTCTGCGATGTGGTGAAGGCAGATCACAGGAGGGCTGTCTCCTTAGACCAAGGGTACGGTGAGAATTTTTACCTTCTGAAGATGTCCTTTGGAAAACCACCCTGAGGACGTGCACACACACCAGTGCTCTCCACCAGCCTGGCTCGCAGAAGCTGGGTGTGCTGCTAACATGTCCAGCCCCACGCATTCCCTTCACTGCAAGCCTGCACCTGGCCCTATTGTGGATCTCACGGGAATCTGTGGCCATCTTTCCTCCCTCACCCTCCCAAGGAGCCTGCTTGGTTGCCATGGTAACACACAGGCTGGGAATCTGGGGGAGCAGTCTCCATGAAAACGCCCTGGAGGTTAGGCGGATGGCAAAGGAGATGCTGGCACCTGCCTTTCTTAAATGCCCAGACACGAAGGGCTCCCGGCAGGGAGTGGATCGAATCTTCTAAGCTGGTAGGTTGTGCTCTACGCTGTATCGACAGGTTTCTGCTGCTTGTGGACCGATTTCACATCTGCTTTGTCTTTTGCTTTAGTGTTTTTCTCCCTTCCTTCTTCTTTCTTCCTGCCTCCCTCTCTTCTTTCCTCTCTCTCTCTCCTTTCTTTCTTTTAGAGGAAAAAAACCTGAATATCATCCCCACCTATGCCCCCAAACCAACAGCATCAATATTCTGACATTTATGTAGGTATCTGCGGATTTATTTAGAGGTGTGGCCAGTGGCCCTGCCGCCTCCTGCCCCACATAATGGTCCCTGCTCATAGCCCAGCATGGAAGGTTCCAGACAGAAGGGTCAGTCCCGCATGAACCTGCCCTTCAGTGATGTCCCTTTTACTGTCACATTCTGGCTGTAATGGCTCAAGCTCTGAGCTCTGTGTTGTGTGCCTTCTCTCTGCGTAGGGACACACACAAGGAACAGATTTCATAAATTCAAGCTCAGTGCCCTGTGGGGCATACAAGTGACCTCCCCTTCCCCACAGACCTTGCTGCACATGGTCACTCTGTCCCCAGACGCAGGGCGTGTGGTGCTCTGGAGCTGCTGCTGTCAGCTATGGATTCTGGGTCTTTCCCTGCAGGTTCTGGTTGAAGAGAGGCCGCATCGGGTCAGTTCTTGAATAGACAGCCCCTGTGGAACAGTTCAGCAGGCAACCCTCCTTGCCCAGAACCGTTTGTCTTGTCTGCAACACACAAGGACAGGACAGAGCTGCTGGCTACATAATCTCTTTGTCCAGTTCAAAATCACCCTCCCTTGTGACTATTTAAGGGCCCACTGCATTGCTCATGAAGATCAAAAGAACCACCTACTTTCTGGTCTGGCTCTGTCTCTTGCCTGCAGCCCCTCCCTCTGCACTCTATCCTCCCACTGCAGAGGACATTTGTCGTTTCTCGGATGCCTGGCTGCTGAGCTCTTTTCCTTTGGTGAATTCATGCAGTATAAGGTCAGGTGGCAGCTAGCACCCACCTCTCACTGCAGAACCCTACCAATCTGGATGCTGGCTCTGCCCGCTCCCTGGCAGTCTGGGCATGGGCGTGTGACCTGGGCTTGGCCAACCAGGTGTCCTGCCCCAGGTTTCCCTCCAGTCCACACAGTGTGTAAATAAGCAAAGGTGCCCTTCCTCTAGGCAGAGGCAGCCTGTGCCAGGCATAAGTTTTGGCAAATGGAGTGCAGGCACCAGTGTTCAACTCTGGAGCAAGTGGCATTAAAATCCAGGAAGCAGCAATAGGAATCAGTCTAGCTGGTGCCTCTAGCCACCATCCAGCGATGATACAGTGTGGACTTGATCTTGGTCTCAGCCTACCAGTCCCTTGGATTTTCCTGAAACTTTGCCCAGCCTTGTGTCCAGCTGTCCTTTTATTCTCTGAGACCTCCCAGTGACTTCCCAGTACTCTTTTTTGCTGAAAGGAGCCAGAATCAGCTTCTACTGTTTGCATCCAAAAGCCCTGGCTGGTGCCCTCCACTTGGCAGGCTGAGCTCCTAGTCATCTCTTGCCACGAGGCCTTTGCACTTTCTGTTCCCTCTGCCAGCAACACTCTTCCTCCGTCACCCCCACCCCCAGCATGGCTCATGCCGCCTCACTCTTTATGTCTCACCCACAGGTGTTCCTACTATTCCCCCCAGGTGCTCCCGCAGCGCAGCACATGCCTACTAGAGCCCCTTGTCTGCTCCAGTTGGACCACGAGCTCTTCAGCAGTGGGTGTAGGGAGGTTTCTATCTTGCCTCCTGGGGTCCTGAGGGCCCAGCACATTCTCAGTAAGTGGCTCCTTGTTGCAGGTGAAGCCTGAATCACACCATCTCTTGCAGGTTTTCTTGCAGGTTAGCTCAAAGACTTTTTCCTACCTTGCTTTGTGTTTCATTTTGTAGGAAGGTTTTTACTGAACTTGGATGGATGGTTTGTGGCCAGAGGCAGGGTGGCGTTTTGCTGAGGTGGGTCTGCTTTTTACTGTAGCTTTCTCTCCAGCTGGGCAAAGGGGAGGTTTGCTGCAGGTCTCGAAACACCGATGGCTTCCCCTCTGTCATCAGAATGTGCTTGACTCCTGCCAGGCTCCACACAGCTTACTTAAGGAGTTACCTCACCCCAGGCTCAGGAAGCAAACATCAAACAATATAGAAGGAAAAGAGAGGGAAAAAATAAGTAGAAAACAAAAAAGAAGACAAAACAGTTATGTACTGACATTAGTAATCAGTTGAAAAAGAAGACAAAACAGTTATGTACTGACATTAGTAATCAGTTGGGTTAATGTTTAAAAGTGTTTTGGTGAATTGTTAAATTTATCACTGGTAGGATTAAAATGAGAATCCAACCTTTAAATTACTATAGAATAATAAAGCAAGCAAAACATCATGTATATTGCAAAAGAAAATAAAAATGAAGGCCAACCAAGATCTCTGAAAAAGAGCAAAAAATAAAGATGATATACATAGACCAGATTTAATCATTATCACAATAAGTGCACATGGATTAAATTCCTTTCAAAAGGGCAAATTCAGATTAATTATTTTTAAATCTAAAGATAGTTTGCTTATAAAGCACACGTAAAAATAAAAGACTCAGGAGAGTTCAAAATAAGAAATAAGGTGAAGATATATCTGGCAAACGTAAATAAAAAGGAAGCAGGAATAAAAAATACTCAAAAAGAGGAAAAGAACGCAGGCAAAAGCAAGAAATAGGTCTAAAGACATAATTTTATATTAGTAGAAGATTCAGCATAAATAGAAAAGCTCATGGTCATGGATCTTTACATCTAAATAAATCATAAATCATACGGCAAAGATATTTAAAGCATGAGGAAAACCAGGTTGTAGGCGAAGTCTTTGATACACAACCGTTGCTTCGTGGCAGAACAAGTAGAAAGAACAAACGTAAGAACATGGTAGACTTAAGATTTTTAAGCAATAAAGTAAAGTATCTGTCTGTGTAACTACAACTCAGAATCTGTGTGATCAAGGGAATATACAAGGGAACATATATGAAAGGTGCCTATATTCTAGCTGCAAGGGGAATTCACTGAACTACCAAAAGCAGAAATTTCATAGGTCACATTTCCTGACCACTGCACCACATTCCTCGTATAAGATGAGATTAGTGGCAATAGTTAAACAGCAACAAAACAAATCCCCTAAAAACATTTAAGTTCATGTACTGCACTGTTTAGAAAATACACTGAGAACCCAGCATAGCAAAATTACTCTTATCTGTATTTTTTTCCTTCCTTATGAACATTATAGTTATTTTACCAAATCCTAAAAGGTCATTCCAATGGGGTAATGAAGGCTGCATTAAACCTAAAAAAATTAATATTAATTAATTTGCATAAAACCTAAATGTGTCAATTGAAGAATTAACATTTAAAAAATTTTTCTTCCCATCCAGTATTGGAATCTCAGCTTATATTTGTTGTATTTGGTTAAGTTTTGTAGTTTTCTTCATGTAGGTCAATGAATTTTTACAAAGCTAGCATAATTCCCATACCAAGTGCTTACAGAGACGACGCAGAAAAGGGAACTCTACTCTCTTCACATTCACAAATATAGAAGCAGGAATCTGAGGTGGAATCCAAGCAAAAAGAGTGAAGTAGTGTATGAAAACAATAGCATGTCTAAGCCACATAGTTTATCGTGGGAATTTTATCATAGGGAATTTTTATGAACAAAGTTAATAGCATCCTTTTGTCGTATTATGTGAAAATAGTGTCGGGTTGTGGTTTTTTTCACTGAATTTGGAGGATGCAATGGGATGTCTGGTCCTGGGGCATTTGTGTGGCTTACTCTAAGTTACCTAGGGGTACCTGATGGGGACTGACTGTTACTGTCACCAGAGTATCCGACACTGAGGTAGAAATAAGAGGTCCAAATGGCTGTTGATCATAAGTCTGTTATATCATCAAGACACTGTGACTAGTTCAGGTTGACACTGTTTCAAATATAAGCTCCAAATAAGAAGGACCGTGAAAGGAGGTTCCAATGTCCAGGCACATTAGCTATCAAGCCACTTCTCCCTGGACAACTCAGTGCTGTCATCCATCGAGGACACCTTGATGGCCACCTCCAAATCTCAGACAGACTCCGCTGATAGACAGTCCACCATCCTTCTTGCCAGACCATCCCAGGGACCACAGGTAAGACCCAGTGGGGCCACAGTGAGGTTTTGGGTTGCCCAACCCAAGACTGGCCCAAGCCAACTCAAAGAAAGCCACCCACCCTCTCCTGACTACAGCTTCTTTTCTGTGCCCCCATAACTGCTCCAGGCCCATCATGGGGTGCCTGGACCCTTCCTGCCCCAAAGGCTTCCTTCATTGCTGATTCCTGCTTATTTCAGGGAAATCTTCACCAAAGATCAAAGAAGACACTCCTTCTCTCTTTATTTTATTTATTTATTTTTTGTCAAACCCCAAATTATTTATTGGTCTCTTTTTAAAGAGTAAGAGAAAGACTCAGATGTCCATGAGAATTAGCCAGAGGGTTTGTCAACAAAGGCCCTTCATTTTCTATCACTTTGCCCTTAGACAAGGCAAAACAGCCTTGTTCTAGAATACCAAGCCCATAGGGAGAGAGCACAGAGCAAGGCCAGGTCCCCAATGAAGCACTTGGGGCGAGGGGCTTGGCTGGGAGGGCACAGAGAGCCGCCGAGGCTGACCCTCTAGTGCAAAACGCACACCACTCACAAGGGCGGAAGCCTGTCTCTTTCCTCCTCGTGCAGGGATCTTTCACTACGATTCTTCTCTGCAGAAGGCAGGAAGCCCTTCCCAGCACATGGCAACCTCCTAGCAACAGGAAGCTCCATTCCCAGCATCTGATCACGTAGGAAAGACAGTTTCTTTGAATGAGAAATCCATTTTTCAGGAATGGAAGCACTATCCCCTCTCCCTCCTCCTCTTTTTCTTTCTTGGGTCCTTTGTTTCCGGCTCTGATTAAATTTTGTCATCTTCAGTTCTTTAACCTTTCTTTGACATTGATTTG